CATGGAGATGGCAGAGCTTGGGGTAGCCATCCCCTAAGATGAACCGGGGAGAAGGGAGCCCCTTTAGCAGGAACTGACTGCCTTCCTCTGTGTTGCAGGCCTGAGGGGACCCCGTTTGAGGATGGTAAGAGAGACTTTTTTTACCCACCTTTCCGGGAGCCTGATCATCTGGGGAAAGGATTTCCAGGCATCCTGGAAGTACCTTCTTAGGAACCTGCTTCTCCTCAGCCTCTGCCTGTAGAGGCTTGAGCGGGATCCAGTGTGTTGCAGGTTGTTGTGGATGTTGTCTCCTTGACTAGACCTGCGCCCTTTCTCTTGCTATCTTCTTTTAAAAATATTTCGGTAAGGCTGTCAGTTTTTAAAAGGACCATCGTAGCACTGCCGTTAAGGCTTTTGGAAGTTTGATACGGGATCCTGCTAAATGCAGCTTCCTGTCAAGATACTGAGTTAGTATAAACCCAGCCAGTTGCTGACAGTCAGCAGAGACCCCAGAAGTGGGTTTACAGTTTCACCACGTGGGCAGGAATTGTGTTCATTGCTTAATATGTGTTTGTTGGGTGCGGAATGGATACAAGTATCCTTGCACATGGCTCTTTGGTTTCTGCAGTCTGACTCCGAATGCCTGTCAGTGTCACTACTCTAAAATACTCTTAATTGCCTGAGTCAAATACATTGTTGCTCATTTTTAAGTGTATTTGCGGTGTGTGCTTTCATCCCGATTTCACGGTCAGTAATCACAAAGCAGCTTTAGAATTGAGGCTAGAGTTAGTGTACTCTCTTAACAGTGTTCACCCTACTTAAAGGTGGTACATGTACCAAATAATTTTTAACTGATTTAGGTGGAACTTCTTAAAATATACATGTTAATTGCTTTTTGATAACTTTGTTTTTAGCTATAGATTCATGTGCAGTTACAAGCATTAATACAGAGGGAGCTTGCACATCCTTCATCCAGGACCGCCCCCACACACACATACACATGCTTCCCTGTTTAGCAACATCTGCAATGAGTATTTTCTCACAACTAGGAAATTGACATTGATGTAGTTTTGCATGCACTCAATTTGTGTATGTGTGTATGTGTGTGTGTGTGCTTAGTTGTTTATTGTTTTTTGGAAGTTAAATTCATTTAAAAGATAATGAAAAGTATTTGAACTCATGAAATTCTTTAATATTTAAGGTATTTTTTTAAAAGAGAAGGATCTGTTTTTTTAAATTTTTTTCTCAATAGTTTATCTTCTTTTGGTCACATAGCATTTTATACAGCCACACACTTCAGTTTGAAGGTGGGAATAAAAACTTTTCTACAAAAAATTTAATATATACTTATGTTGCTCAGTCGGATTGTTTTTTGATGCTGCCAGTTCTTGAAGTGTTCTGAGGTAAGTCACTATCAACCAGTTCTTTAATTTGTCTCAAATCATGAGGTTTCCCTAGGAAATAGAACCGTCACCTAAATGCTTTCAGCTTCCTGTCTAGTCTCTGGGTAAATATCACTACTCTCCAGTGCTACAATAAAAAGAAATGGCAGGGACCAGCAGTTGGCGTAATGGCTATGCAACTGGACTCCCATGTAGTCGACCGCGGTTCGAGTTCTGGACCCAGTGGCTTAAACTCATGCCATGTCCAAGATCCCAAGAGGAGAATGAAGGAGAAGGGATTGCCGTGTGGCCATCCTCCCCGGGGGGTGATTTCTCACTTTCCATCTTTCTGGCAAACGCAAAACCTATAGCATAAACCTCTCCCCCCACCCCAAAAAAAAATGGCACAATGGCACCAGGGCAGAGTGATTCTAAGGGCATACTTGTTTGATATCCTTAATCGTTTGAACTGATCGGTAGCAACAGCCAGCTAGACTTAATTTTCCTCTACTAGATTGGTGCTGGTTCTTTTATCTAAGCTTTATGTGTAAGTTAACTGTGTATTTGCTTTAGGTCTAGTAGACTTGTTTTCACTGGCTTCTTTTTTCCTCATTTTGTTCTGACTGCTTTAGACTGGGCACTGCTTTATTAATAGTACATCACTTTGCTGGGGGTTGGCTACTTAAATATTTTAATGGTGCTTCTCTTGTTTTAAGTGGTATGAGTTGAAAAGGTCCTTATAGAATCCATTATCTACCTGGACTGTCCCCTTTGACATTACTGGCTCTGTTTTTGATGGTGTGTACCTCTACCCTGACATTACTGAAAGGAATTATTCAGAGTAAATGACAATACCGGTCTGATTCATTCTGTTGCACAGTCTGCCATCCTTCGGCAGGTGTCTAGGACTGACTGTAGCTACAAAAAACGAAAAAAAGAAAAATACATTTTTTGGATCATTTTTTGAATACTCCTATTTACAGTTGAGGAATTTAGTTAGGGAAAAGACTGATTAGGAGTGATATAGTTTTGCTATTTCTAACGTATTACATAAAGTGAGCCCCCAAACTCCTCCTCCTTTGTGAACTATTCATGGTGAACTTTTCTGGAAGAGTCTGTTCTCCTAGTTAGAGAGATGAAATCTTAAAAAAAAGGAACTCTTAGAGGTATTTTGACTTAACTTCACACACTTGAAGTAAGAGGAATATGTTCTCAAGAGCTTATACTGCCAAAATACTGAAGGAAATGCTTCCTCATCTGGAAGCATATGCTCAATGCAAAGATTATGGAATATAATATTCTTTATCACATGTAAAAATTGTTATTAGATGTGGTAAGATACTAGTATTTACTTCTCATAATAGAGGTGAACTCCTATTAAAAGTGAATCTCTTCAAGTTTGTTAAGGGTGTTCTTTAGGCAAAGAACTCCTATAATAAAGAGTTTTGGGTATTATCTTTAAAAACTCACATTTCCAGTCATCAACATTTTTTTTTAAAGAACATGGACTTTGCTTTCTCCTCAGGGGGTCACAAACTAGTGGCCAGTGGCAGAAAACACCTGCAGAGGGGTTTTCCTTGGCCAACACAGTATTTTTTTTAAACATTTGAATGTATGAATTCATACTCTACTTCAACTATGTCACTTTTACCACCACACACCAGCCATTTAATACTTCTGTGTAGTTTCTGGGTCTCTACGTATACATGAGCTAATTGGTACTTCCCTTACAACTTAGACCTCGGTTATTTTAGAGCCTCGCCTGAGTATTCAGAGGCTACACTCTAGTCTCAAATGGAATAATACTAATTCCAATATTTTAAATTTCTTTAACATTTGTTTGATATCAGAAAAATTGCACTGAGGGCTATGCTAAGGAGGTCCTGATTATTTAATATGGCTAAAAGTATAACAATACTCACTTTTTAAATGTGTACCTTGAATAAGATTTAGGTAAGTTGATATTTGTATTTAAGTAGACATAAGCAGGTTGCTCCACTTCTCAGGATATTAAATGAGCTGTTTTAGAAGACTTTTGCTCGGTAGCTAGGTAACCACCTCATTGAACATGTGGGCAAATGTCAAGCATAAAGCTCAAGTCGAGGAATTGGTGAGCTACCAACATTGGTACTCTTAATATAGGGCCAGAAAGTACTATTTAATCTCTGAATTGATTGTATATTTCTTACTGTTAATGAAGTTTGGATTTTAGGTTTTCATTTCCTTGAGCTAGGTCTAGAGATGTAAAACTTCTGAATTATTATACCTAAAATGATTGCTCATATTTACAGAGCACTTATTTTGTGGTACTGTGTGTATTTCCCTCATTTAAAGCTCACAGCCGTGCCGTGTGATAGGTACTATTATTACCTCATCTCACAACTGACGAGCTTGAGTGTTGTCAAGCGAACAAGGTTTCCCAGCTATAGCAAAGCAAGGATTGGGGCCTAGGCCTGGCTGTCTGTGGAGCTTGTGCTTTTACAAGCCCCCACGCTCTACTGTTTTTTGCTTATATCTTCCTTGTGTATTGCTTTGCCTCCTTTAGATATATTTCATAATGGTTTCAATTTAAGGTAGCAGGGGTCTCCATGTGCTATTAAATCTACCCAGTGTTAGAGCAATTTTTTGAAGATGAATCTCTTACCTACAGTTGAATCAGACTTCAGCATTGATCCATGTGTGTTTACATTTAAGATACGTAGGAAGCTCAAAGTTTTGAACTCTCTAACATATACCCAATTTTTCTTACTTATTATAATGTTGATACTGAAAACAAAGAACTGTGCTGGCCAGCTGGTGGTGTGGTGGTTAAGGAGCTGGATCCCACATGCTGACTGTACTGTTCGAGTCGCAGACCCAGCAGCTTGAAAGACACGCCATGCTCATGTACATGCGTGCCCAAAACCCCAAGAGGAGAATGGAGGAGAGAGGATTGCTGCATGACCATTTCCCTTGAGGGGTGCTTTCTCACTTTCCTTTTCTCTCTGTCTCTCTTCAGTGAGCACACACACCCTCTGACAAATTTTAAAAAAGAAAACTGAAAGAACTGTGCTGTCTTCCTCAAAAAGAGGAAGATTTATGACCACATAGTGATAAACATGAAGGGTGGTCTAATGAACCATAATAGTATGTTTGTCCATTCCATAATATTTTACTTTCTTATACTGCATAGTATCTTCACATCTGACTTTCGACAGAAAATATTGACAGTTTAGAGAGTAACAGTACTTTGGAAGATATAACATGTTTCTATATGTTGCATTCTAAATTACTCTGAAACCTTGGGATGCATGTTAATGTCAAGGACAACTTCATTAGCAAAATGTTCCTATGAGCTTGCTGGGGAGAATCAGCGTTTTTGGTCTTGTTATATAACAGGTCTAGCAGTAGAATGATTGTAGTGTGCTCTTTTTCTTAAGCAGTGCTATACCTATTAAGAGGGGCAAGGAAGAAATAAACTGGGAACTCTGAAGGAAGCAATAATAAAGTATACTCTCTGTACAGTCTGTTGTATTAGAAAAAGTAGTTTATGATATGGATCACAGTAATATACTGAAGCTGGCATCACCTTATACCAGATAGCATGGTTCCTTTATTAAAGTTTACTTGAAGAGATTTCAGTTCAGTGTCCAACTTTAAATAATTGATTTAACAAACAATTAAACATAGCATTTTGAAGGCATAATCTTCCCAAGTCACATCATCCTATGATTCATAAATGAGATCCAGTTGGTCCATAGCTTAGGGATAAGTCTATAACCTTGTATGCTTAGAGAGCCTCTGTTAACCTAGGGTGACACCTATTCAACAAAAATTATTTCGTTTCAGTGGTAGCCTAAACAGACATAAATTTGTTGGAGCCATGAATGCATTCTAAAGCAAATGTGATTTAAAATTATTTCTGCTATTAATTCCCACCAGAAGTTTGAATAATTACGTTGCTTTTATAGGGAGGTCATAATTAAGGGTTTTTGAGGGACTATGAGTTTTTTTCTAGCTTATATTTAATTAAATTTTCATTATAGAGCCACTATTACATGAAAAGGAACCAGTGAACCTTTTAATACTGATTCCCTTTCATTTTAGAAATCACTTGATTATAGATTTATATTTCTAGCACTGGTTTTTGAACTTTTGTGCTTTTCTTCTTTCTAGTCCATTTAAAAATCACTGGAGAGTTTAAGATGGCGGCTGACTAAAATAGGCCTTTGAGATTTTTCAGTCTTCTGAAGGAAGAAGGCCAAATTTGGGGACTGGTTTCTTGTCATTTCATTTTAAAGGTGTTTTCAAAATATACAATGACTAAAGTTATCCTACAGGCAGTAATTTTGAGTTTGTGAAAGCTGACTTTTAAGTTTGGGGGAGAATAAAAGGCAAAAAAACAAATCACCTTTGGGTGGTGGTTCTTAAAATATCTGTTCATTTTTAGAGCAACCCGTAGAGATGTATTTCTAACCTGGTATCACTGCATTATTTAATACTTGAAAAAAATCACATAGCATTAAAAACGAAGTACTACTGAGCAAAGCGATGTTCTTAAGCCTTTCTTTTCTAACTACAGGAACCTTTAAGCTTACAATAGAATTCACTGAGGAATATCCGAATAAACCGCCTACAGTTAGATTTGTCTCTAAGATGTTTCATCCAAATGGCAAGTATCACTTTATGCAGTATTTTAAACCACCACAGGGTTTATTAAGGAGGCGGCGTTCCACATCTCCTACTTACTTGTCTGGAGTACCCTGAGTATTTTAAGCATCTTGCTGTTTCCTAAAAGCTGAATGTGTTCATGGTGCTCCGTCGCTGTCTTCATCTATAATAGTCCTAGAACAGAAGCACTTAAGGTACTTTGCTTGGAGTCTAAGAGCCTCTTGATTTTGATGATCTTTGTCATTTATTTATCAAACAAAAGTAAGGATCCTCTTGGGGTTTCCTTTTAATACTAGGCCAGATTGAGGTAGTCTGATATTATAATTATTTCCAGTAGTATTTATTGGAATATCAGGAAAGCCATGATGCATTTTGGCATAGGAAAACAGACAAATACATCATGACTTTCCCAACAACCTAAGAGAGTAGCTTTCAACTCTGGCTGCATCTCAGAGTACTGTAGAATATTTCAAAGTACAGATGTCCTGGCCCTACACCAGACTGGAGCCACAGGTGATTCTTCCTTTGCCCCAACCTCCCCACCCCGTAGTAAACCTAAAAACAGCTTGCCTTGAAGGTTAATAACATATTTTTCAGGGCATCAGATATTTTTACCTTTTTGACAAAATGAAGCCTTGTGAGCTCTGTGCTCTTCCATTATTTCAGATCGGAGACATAGTTTACAAATTTGGTGGAATGAATTACTGACACGTTTATGGATTGCTAAGGACTCTCTTAGAAAATGTGTATGACTTTAGGGCAGTCTTTTCAAAAGAATGAATGCTAAATATCTTCTAGTTTTATAGATCATATTTGATATTATCTGCTCATTTGATTATTTCACTAGTAATGATTATGACCCATCTCTTTTGGGAGTTAGCTGGGAAGCAGCTTAGGAATTTTTTTTTTAAGTTCAATAGCAAAGTATTCTTGACTTTGTCTTCACTACAATGTTAAAACCTTGCTAGTCTTAATTATATTTAATATACCTACTTTTATGTTCTCAGTCTATGCTGATGGTAGTATATGTCTGGATATACTGCAGAACCGCTGGAGTCCAACCTATGATGTCTCTTCCATTTTAACATCCATACAGGTGAATTTTTCCTAAATGCGACAGTGACCTTTAATATGTTTATATGAGCAATTAAAGTATTTTTTAGAGTCATAATGTAATAAACCTTTTTATTTGTGGACAAAACTTATTTACATATTTGTTTTGGGTAAATGCATGTCACATGCTGTAGTGATACACAGTAATTGAATGCATAAATTAAAATTTTAAAAAGTAATAAAAAAAGTGACCTAAGCCACCAGATGACATGTATGTGCACACATGCATGTGAACTTGTCTAGCCACTCACAAATTAATGTAGCTCTAGGTTAGTATCCTTAAGATAGCAAATTTAGCTGTTCCTTAGGACAGCTTATAAACTAGCTGTTTCTGTATGTTCTGGACATGTGTTTTTTTTGCACTGAGAAACTGACATGTAAAATTGTTCCCTCTAGTCTCTATTGGATGAACCTAATCCCAATAGTCCAGCAAACAGCCAGGCTGCTCAGCTGTACCAGGAGAACAAGCGGGAGTATGAAAAGCGTGTTTCTGCAATAGTAGAACAGAGCTGGCGTGATTGTTGACCCCAAGCACAGCAAAAGAGGCTGGCCATAAGAAAAAAATATATTGATGTGTTTGTCACCTTCCTATTCCTCAGTGTCATTACATTTACTTTATTAAAAACAAAATAGCTGTTGTGCTGTTTCCATCTTCCCTTGCTTTTCCTACCCCTCCTACCCTCTCCTTGAACATCAGAAAACACCCTCTATGAAATCAAATGTACTGTACCTGGGTTACTTGCAAAATTGACTAATGCTTAACTCCTTTTCTGTTGTATCTCATCTCCGGTTTTCAGGAAGTTATTTGTGTTACTGTACTTTTACACTAAGCTTTTAAAATGTTATTTTGAATTGTTATACAAGTGGTGCTTATGCATAGCTTGATGACCAGGATGCTATTTTTAACAAGATGATTGCTGAAGTGTCGTTCTGGCTGGTCCTTCATCATGTTAGATTTAGAAGTGAATGCCTTTGGGATATGGCCTCTAGAAAACAGGGAAACGCATCCATATAAACATCAATTTTGAAAGAGGAACAATCCCATCATACTTAGAGATCTAAGCAGAATGAATTACAAGATGGTATTTATTGTTAGGGAAAAGTGTTGAAGGACTCAGCCAGAGGAGTACAGCAATTGTAGTTAACTGACACATCCTTTCCTTGCAGGTTATTTATTGAGTGAACACCCCCCCCATGCTAAGTTTCAGAATACTGGTCTTCTGGGTTTTTGCTTTTTAAGAGGTGTGGGAGCAAAGGAATGGAAACAATCATCAGTTCTTGAGCTAGGGAAAGTCAGAGATCCTTTAGTCTTTTTAAAGGAGCAGTGCTGCCCTAGATAAATTTACAATCCCTCCATCATTTTTTTTTAGTTTTAATTAATTCAAAGAAGAGAGCATATCTGTGGTGAACTATTTTCCACTCAAATTCTGAGTCACTGTTGCATGCTTCAGTTTCTTCTTTTCAGCATTTTGAGAACCTTAAAGCCAATGTCTGCAATCTTTGTTTGAATATTTATACTTTTAGATATACAGTACCTTTAGCAGTGTGGGACAAGGCTTGTAAATGTTTTGTCTAATGTTCCATTGTTACCTTTTATGCATTTATCACTCTTCTAAATCTAACTTTGCACAAGTAACCCATGTAAAAAAAATGTACATTTTTCAAAACTTGTAAATAAAAATAACCTTAAAATTTCATAGTCAAAGTATAATTATATTTTAGCTATTTAGCTCAGTATGAACTTTGGGTCTTAATATCTACTCACTTCCCCCCTCCTTAAACATTATGGCAAAAACAAAAAGTATTCATTCTGGGAGTAAAAAAGAAGACAGAAGATACTGTTAAGAGAGAAAAATTTTTTTTCCTTTTAGTCAGTGTTAATGCTTTTTAAAATTTTTTAACAGAGTATGAAATTATTAAACAAAGTTTCTTAGTATACATTATGGTCAATAAAGGGAATAAGATTGTGATGGGGGAGAATATGCCAACCTGGGTATTTTCCTGTACCCTCAGAGACCAAGCTCTACCTTGATCTCAATATTCTACCTCTTAAAAAGCCCTAGCTTAAAAAAACACCACAAATTATTATAAAATGGTGTTTGAAATCCTACGTAAAGTGTGGGAGTACTGTTATCCTCAGTCGTCATCTTCAAACAAAATTGCTTTTTTCTGAGGAGCAACCCATTTCATTTTAAAGAACAGACGACTGTGAGAACTATCATCTGTAGGTACTTGGGGTTTTGTGTGTGTGTGTGGGGGGCTAGTGGCTAAATGAAATTAAGACCTTAATGATTAATGTTCTCTACTGATCCGCTAAGACATGGTACTTAAAGGGTTGGTGTGGGGAAGTTCAATCTAGACTGAATACCACATTAATTGCACTGTTTCACTTAGGAAGGAACAGTGTCCTCAAATGTGCTTAATATTTTCCCTCAAGTCCACTTCTGCTTCAAAGTAGAGCCACATGGTCTTTATTTAGTGGGTTCATTTTACATTCACTTTTTCATCCTGCTGTGGCTGGGTAGCTTAAAGACTGACACCGTTAATTGTGATTGAAAAAATTTACAGTGAGGGTGGGAATGAACAGGTTCAATAACTTGTTCTTTTGTGCACCTGAGAAACACTTATTCCCAAACTTTCACAGGATAATCCTTTTAACACCTTATAATGGAGCCAACAAGCTGGCCTCCCAGAATATCATATCCATGGTCCAAGGCACCAAACACCATTCATTGGAATGCTTAATGCTAATTGCCTTTCCCCTCTTTACAAATTTTACAAACACCAAAGGCTGCCTGCATGTAACAATTATAACAAAGGTAATTAAAACAGATTTGCAAGGTCCCTTTTCAAATGGCAGATCTTAACTTGAGTCTTCAATTCAGCACCTGCTGATATGGGGAAGGGGGTATGATGAAGAATCAAAGTTGTAATTGGTGTACTTTATTTAGGTCCCCTCCCCAGCTTCTGGGGCTACTCACAGCAAAGTGAGTGCATGTTATACTACTTAAAAAACGGAATCTCAACAGAATGCATGATATTCCCAGAAATGTTGCAATCAAAGGAGAGGAAAAAACTCCAAAAAGATCAGACTCAAGGCTTGTCATACTTGTGCACACTCTCACATGCACACAATTGAAAGCATAGGTAGGTACTCAATATAACTAATGTTTAAATCCAAATGAAACTCGAAATTGCTCATGTATCCATGCAGGTTTTAGAGCAAGGTTACTGGGTTTTAAATGACTGCTTTTTCAAAGAAAGGGGAAAATACAGAACCGACTAAAGGGGGACAAAGTGGAACAGCAAGTTGACAGCAGCTCATTGTTGCCAACTGTATTTCTTTTTTCTTTTTTTTGACAGGTTTTTGCTATAGGGTGTGTGCACTTGCCAGACAGACAGAGAGACAGAAAGTGAGAAATCACCCCCCAGGGGGGATGGTCACGCCGCAGTCCCTTCTCCTCCATTCTCCTCTCGGGATCTTGGGCACGCACGCACACGCGCCTGGTGTGAGATTAAGCCACGGGTCCAGGATGCAAACCGCGGTCGACTACATGGGAATCCAGTGACATCGCCATTACGCTAACTGCTGGTCCCCCCAACTATTTCTCAAAATTCTTTTCTTCTCAAGCAGTTATGTGACTTAGCTCTAATTCTGCATCAGTACCAAAAAATATCTAAGAAGGGAGGAAATCTGGCCTCTCAAGTCCAGGAACCAAGTTTGTATGTACTTGGCTCAGATATTCTGCAGCCTTCACAGTAACTACATTAATACTCTGTTCTGTTGGGCTTAACAAACCAGATTTACATGTAATATTTCCCTACCTTTTTCTCCCAAGAAGTCTTTTTGGGAAGAAGAAAGAACTGTAAAGAGAGAAATGAGTCATTTTCACATTCCTTAATCCCCAAAACCACTCTTAACTCAGAACTGAAGGTAAGGTTTTTCTTAACTCATTAATTGAATAGTAACTTCTCAAGGTTAGCATGAACCCTGTAGATTAAAACACAAATGACAATTCTATAAAAATCTGAACTTGGTTCCCTTTTCCATTATTAAAACATTAGATGACACAATAAGATGCACACCTCTCTCTCCTCCCATTAGGAAAGTCTGCCTAAGGCAGAAAGCAAGTTACCGCAAAGCAGTATATGCTGGGTTAGTTACTGCAGGTAACTACAAGTTACAGAGATCCAGGTATAAAGGCTAATCCCTTCGTATTTCTTTTTTTTTTAGAGAGATTTTTCGCTATAGGGCACGTGTGCTCGCCAGACAGAGAGAGACATAGAGACAGAAAGCGAGAAATCACCCCCCAGGGGGGATGGTCACACTGCAATCCCTTCTCCTCCATTCTCCTCTCGGGATCTTGGGCACGCACGCACACGCGCCCGGCGTGAGTTTTAAGCCACCGGGTCCGGGACACGAACTGCGGTCGACTACGTGGTAGTTCAGCGACATAGCCATTATGCTAACTGCTGGTTCCCCCCTTTGTATTTTTTAAATGTCAACTGCAATGGATAGCTTCTTAATGTAAAATATAAAAGTAGGGGGAAATTATTGCAGGCCACTGTCAAACATGGCACTAAATGGAACAACCTCATTGTCCTGAACATCATTTCAATGGAGGCATTTATCAATACAATATTCCTCTCTGCTGCCGTAGATGAGGTTATACTTGATTAATCTGAGCTATAAAAACAAAACTGCATTAAAGTTAACAGGCTACCACCTGGTTGAAGCCAGCATGTTGTGCCATAAGAAAATAATGTGATGGGTGACTGGTTCCTACCTGTTCCTATCTCTAAATCATATGTTCATCATCATATGCTCAGGTCTTGAAATATTCTGTGCCAACACCACTTCCCTTCTCCAAAGACCCACAGTGTTTGCTGGTAGGCTGCTGCCTGGAAATGAACACACCACCATTTTGATCAACTCTGGCTCCTTTTTATTCAGGAAGCATACACTACTTCATTTTATACATTTTTTTTTTACATTCCAGAAATAAGCGAAAATAGCTGTTTTAAATATGTTACAAAGTTGGCTTTTCGGGCTTAATAAGCTTTTTGAGAGAGGGACCAGCCAACTGACCTTTTCATCAAAGCACCAATGTGTCTTCAGTCTTTTACCCAGCTCTACCACAGCTGTGGCTGCTTTGGATGTGCTGGACACCCAAACTGTGTGAAAGCTACAATGGAGAGTTGCTGTGAGTCTCTCTGCAAGGCACCAAGAACAAACAGTTCAAGCTTCCTTTCTTCAGATTGAATTAAAGTTTTTGAAACTTTTCAACTACTCTCTCAAGAAGTGCTCTTTCAGCATGAAGACTAGAATTTGTTAAAACCCATATATCACAAGATCCAGTAAATTACTTCCAATATTCTGGAAATCACATGGGAGAAGTTATAAATAAATGAACACTAAAATTACTTTAAGAAAGTTTTACATCATTTAGTGGGTAAGGACATTTACACGTACAGCACAATTTATTGTTAAACATTCTATAACTGGCTTTGCACAAAGATGAAAATAGATAATACAAAATGATCTGACATTTTCAGTTAAGTCTGGAATTAAGACTGGAGCTTTTCTGGAGTCGATATCAACTTTACATATTGTGGCAGATTGCTGTGCTATGCCCTTTAAAATGAGAATTTCTCTCTCGGGGTGGAATTTCATTTGGATATGTATTCTTGCTTGGACAAACTACTAAAATCTGAGGGACACAGCAATATCGAAGACACAAACTGTAACTGCACAATATCATCCGCTGGATTAGGCTAATACAGGTGGACAGAATTCTTCGGGTTCCAATATCTAGTAAAGTACTATATATGAAATGAACAAGATGAAACATCTTAAGAATGAATATACTCTGCAACCAGAACATGTAGCGTTTCTTTACTTCACAAATCTGCCACAGTAGGCATCGACAAAATAAATTAGTAAGAGCTCAATTTGCTTGAGGCATGACAAGCTCATAATGACCCACTTGGCCTTCCTGCTTAAGCTGATCTAGTAGGTCCTCCTTCCGTCTCTTTCTACCTACTACCAGATACCTATCATGGCCCACCCCATGAGACTTACTCTTAAGACCATACTTTTGGGCAATCTGATGGATTTGCTTCCGTTCATCATTAGTCAGCTCCCTAGAGAAAGTCAAATCCGAGTGGCTCTCGGAGCGGGCGTAGTTTCTGATGATCTGTTCAATATCTCTCTTGGCAATTTTATTTACCCTCTCTACATCAAGACCAAGTCCTTCCCGCTTATGCTGCTCTTTGACTGAGATAGGCTCCCGTATGCCCTCGCCAGATTTACCTAAACCACCGCCCGTCCACCCCATCTTTCTCAGCAGCTGGTTTCCTATGTTATCTTCTTTGATTTGCTGTTTGTAAGCCTCCTCTGCCGAGCGGCCTTGAATCTCATTTCTTGAAATCACATCTTCAATAGCTCCTTTCTTCAAGTTGTTGATGACAGTTGGCTGCGTCTTTTTGAGGGTTTTCACAGCTTCCCCAGCAGCTTCATATTTGACGGTTTTCTTCACCCCGACTGCTTCAGCGATGACTTCACTCTCTAGAATCACCTTGCACTTCCAACGGAGGCCGGTCATCCTTTCATAGACATACTCAACCGTCATGCGGTTAAACTGAGCTGTGTCGTTTAGGGTGCACACGGGATTCGAAGAATTCTCGTAAACTAC